GTCCGGCCGGCCTGTTGAGGAAGATGTGAAGTAGTACTCCAGACGACCAGTGGAACGATGGAACAACTCGGGAACGTCGTACCTGTCAAACTTGATGTCAGAAAACGAGGAAAGCGACCACTTGGACGACAACCTTGTACAGTACTCCAGCCGATAAACCGTGGCCGGCAAGTCGGTGAAGCCGTTGGCGAAGACGTGTGTTGTAGTAGCGCGAAATGCTGCAGCCACTGTCTCCGTCCAATCGCACCCCGAACTTGTGCGGCCGGCCTGTTGAGGAAGATGTGAAGTGAAAATGAAAAATTAAAAAACCAGACAATGAACTTATGTTCAGCAACTTGGAAACGATGGTACCAGCGCAAGCCGGATAGGTGACAATCAATGTCGCCTACTGTTGTTACCTACAATGATTTTATTTGAATTTTCATTTTTTTTCAAACTTCATATTAGTTTATATTATATTGTACATGAGGTACCACTTTGATTTGTATATTTTGTTGAATGTCCCCTAACCATTATGTCTTACATATTGTATATTTTTTTTATATTATTTAAAAATTAAATGTTAACTCAATGTTATGTCATGTCAATATTTTCTAAAACAAACTGAACTTAACCTACAATGACAAAGTTTTTAATATATATACATACATGGTACATAACATAACAAGATAAGTTTTGTTCGAAGTAGAACCATATGTTTTTGTACAAAAAAGATCCTACACGCATTATAAAAGTTGAAAAAAATAAAAATTAAAATATATCCGTCTTTCCTATGGCAACATGTAGGTCTACAAAATGTTAACGATGACAGTCTAAGAAAAATTCCTTCTCCAATTCGTATAACAGTAAATATGGTTTCTCCCAGAAGCACCTACATAAAAACATATCAGCAGCGCACTGAACGTACTCCTCGATGCCCACCGACCCATAGTATTCAAATGTATGTACCTAAGTAACTACTCGTCCAAAAAAAAAAAATCAAGTACGCATGTTTTAGTACGTTATAGCTATTAATATTTTTTACAACAAAAAAATGTGTTGTTATATTATTTTGCCAAGCGCGTACTCTGGTTTTGTCTATTTGATGTTGATTCAAGTTTCAAATAAGAACCTCGTAAGTGTTATAAACTCCAAGCTCAAAAACAAAACCTGCGCTGTGTCAGACCGAGTAGGTATTATGGCGCTGTTTAAAATTGTGTATTTTATATGGCTTTTTACCGTTTGCAATCTGATTGAGTTCTCTCGTTCCGATAAAAATATAAAAGATTTTATCAATTGGGCTAAACTTATGAATCGAGCACAACGATATTCGATGCGACTACGGAAATACGGAAAGCGACAGACATTGGAAACTCAGTCAAAACTATTATGTGCGGATGTTCAGACCTAGAAAGTTTGACGAAACTGGTGGAGGCCAACAAGGACCGGTTGGACAAACAGAATGAAGATAACTACGAATTAGACTATAGATTCGACTACGGCAGACATTTGTGGCGTGATATTTCTTTCGACCGAATGCTCTTTAACTGCTGGACGGAAAATGACGAATGTCATGTTGAAGAGTTGGATTATTTTAGCACTCAATTGGACTTGAAACCGATAAAGAATCAACTCGGACAACGTTACAATGTCGCGAGAAACCTGAACAACTTATTGCACGTACGCATCAGAGAGATAAATTCATATCAGGAAATATTCTTGCACTTGATGAAGGTGATCGCTATTCGAATCTCCTTGGGATACTTGATGAACATCAACCGAATGGATAACACAGCTTTGCAACACTTTGGCCGTGCTCATGCTAAATACTGCAACGAAAAAATGGTCGAGCATTTCAACAGGTTTGCAAAACATTTCAATATGCACGAAGACAAATATATCCGTCCAGTAATCGATTTGTTCGCGGCTTTTTCGCAAAAATCTGCTGGTCACAGTGCCATCGATCAGTATGTAAAAAGTCTACTGAAACTGTTGGAAGCTATGTCGTCAGACGGTATGCGATTCGACATTCCGATGAACGTTAATGAAGAAAACAACAAACTGGCTTTGCACAATATTAATTTTATTATTGGTCAACATAACTATGCTCTGTCCACACCTGCAGAGACCATCGAGTCTTCAGTAAGGGCAAGCCTAAAAAGCGCTGAAGTGTTTGTCATTTTCGCTACAGGTTACACGTCCAATGTTGATTTCAAATTAATGAAGTCGTTTGCCCAGCTCGGAACTTCTAAGAGTTACATACGCTTAAAAGACCTGGAAAACGGTCTTCTCTAATCTTGAGATTAACAACAAATAATGTAAGTATAACGATGATTTTGATATGTTTTATCTATAATATTATGTTATTAATGTGAATAACGATATTTCTTATTGTAAGGCCTCGGTTACATGATCTATAACGTCGTTGGCATTATATGAAAATATTTTAACATAATATATAATAATTACTATTGTAGACGTCAGTCAAGTGTTTCCGCTTTAACTTATCCCATAAAAATTGCCATCATTTTTGTCCTCTAATGATTTGATATTTAACAGAGTTTTTTTTACATTATTTAACTCTTATTCTGAACAGATTATAGTTTTAACTTAAAAAATTATTGTTAATAATTATATCCGTTAAAACTTGTTATAAATGACAGTCGATCATATTTTTAGACATTTTAAATGAACTTAATGTTATAATTTTTTCTTAGACTAACACTATTATCATAATTACATAATTATTTTTTTTCTTAATGAATATGACAAATATTGTGTGTTGTTAAAAATTTCTTAAAAATATAGCATGATAAGCTCTATATATTTTGTACGAATAAAATGTATTTCAAACCCATAAAACTTTGGTTTTATTTAATGACACGTTTTATACGTGTGCACTTGAAAAAATATATAGCTCATACAATGATAAAAATTTGTTTTTTGTACATACAAAATGGCCTTAAAATTTGTTCGATTTCCATTCACTGGTCCTTACTTGGGGTAAATGTGTGACTTAATTAAAAAGATAAAAAAATTATGCCGTTTTATATAAAAAAAACTATTATAATATCCAAAATTAATATAAAATCTAAAAAAACAATAACAGTTTAATAATGTTATTTTGTGTAATATTACATACGAATGTTATTTATGTTTTAACTGTTTATGGCCTAAACATACTATTATAATAAAACGCTTTTGTGGTTTAGGTATAATAATATAGAAGTTGACAACATTAACAATAACCCACGTATGTTAAGGTATTTTTAAGTATGTGTGTTTTTTTTAAAAGTATTATTATCATCTACTCAGTTCAAGAACAAATAACGAAACAAAAAACATGATAAAACACATATACTAACTACAAAACCTATGCGTGTTAGCTAAGAGAAAAAATATGTTTTAAAAATGTATACTACTATTGACCTAATTTAAAAGAAATACCAAATCGTGTTGAATTTGGCTGTGAAATTCATACTTACCAACATATTATTAATAGTTATATTTTATAAATTCACCACTAAGAAAACATATTAAAACAAGACAGGTTTTTTTACCTTTCCTCGTTGTTAATTGCTTTATACTTTTTTTGATACAAAACTGAGTACCGGGTGATTGGTTAACTATGGACCACTCAATATCTTAGAAGATATTAGACTTTTTTAATTTTTTTTTTTTTGTACTATTATAGTTATTAAGTGGGACAAATTTAATGTATTTTTCAAAATTTTAACACCATCCCTTATGTGTTAAAACCATATCAACTTTGGATTTTTAAATGGTAACCCCCAATTTTTTTTTGATGATCGTGTTTATTTTTTTAAAATTTAATTTTAGGCGTAAAAACTAGGTAAATCGATTGAGTAGTTAACGAGCTACACAGTTTTAAAATTAAAGGGAGTGTGAAAAATAAATTAAATATCTTGGAGACGCTAACATATTAAGGTGACACTTGACTGCTCTCTGTTATTATTTATTGACAATTAACTTTGACAATAGCTATAGTAGCGTTTAAAAATCATAACCGTACCAAACACTATTTACTTTAGGTAAATAATTCACCGATAGTAAATAATAATGATAACCGCTATATCGACTGACAAACATACCACCACTACACACTTTTACATTTATTTTATAAAATAGTAGGTATGTTTAATTTGTTATCAATACCTTGTGTATATTTTTCCAGCATTTAGCAATTATATGTTTTGGTTAATTTGACACATTTTGTTTATTCATGCGATTTGTACGTCTTAATTTCATAGTATATTATAATAATATAGTATCATAACTTACTAGATCTATGAACTTGTCAACATTTATTGTGTTTTAAATAATAACATTGATATTAAATATCCATAATCAATGTGAATACCAAGATGGAGTTTTGCTCAAGTGACAAGTCTATAAAACCTATAACCTTACTTATAAAATGTATGCACATCAAATATCAAAATTAAAGGTACTTATAATAATATTATGTTATTTAAAATAAATAGAGTAATTTGAATTATGCTTGATGATATTTTAATTAAAACTTTTATTTTTACAGTATTATGTCTTTGTTCTGAGAAACTTATAAATGTGTAGTTTTGTGTTTTAACATATTGGTATCTGAATTCAAAGAAAAAAAATAAAATTTTTTATGAAAAAATTGAATCTTCAATCATCATTTACTGAATCAATAATAGGTAAGATAATGTATTTATTAATATAGGTGTATTGTATAAGTACATTTTTTTATTAGAAAAATATAATTAATCGTTTTTTATTATTCATGAACATATAAAATGTTTTTACATAATAAGTTTTTTTGGATTACTTATGTTTATCATACTTAATATGTTTAATTAAAATGCGTTACTTAAAAATTAACGTTTAACTTAAAAATTATCATACTTGTATAATTATAAAAAATATATGTGTATACTGATATTTGTTGCTTAACCATATAATTATTTAAGTATCTAAGGAACTTATTTAATTTTTTAAATTATATGTTTCAGTACGTTCAATATTAATATGGACTATCTCAACTTAAATTGATATTTGTTATTGTCTACAACTACACTACTACCAACGTCAAATTTGGTGTATTATATTATTGTAGTCAATCAGTCTAATCTAATTCCATCAATACATTGTCGAATGTTGTGGTATTCAATTTTCAGTAAATTTATAGGTGTTTTATTTTAAGGTAAAATATATAAGATCATCAGTTTGCAATAATTTAGTTAATTTCTATGAATTCATCTCTAACAATTTATTTTTATTATTATTATTTTTTAGTTACTGTGGCACACTATTGTAGATAACGGTTTTCCATTAAGTCAGTAAGAAGAATAAGATGGATTTACAAGTTCAAATCAAATATTAGACAACTATATATATTTAGTTATTCAGCTAAAAATGTAATTCAATAAAATAATTTAAAAGTACTTTATCATTTTAAAAGTGACATAAAGTTTTTAAACACACATATACTTAACATATCTATAATTATTATACATTATTTATTAATTATTAATGATGAATTCTTTATTTAATATTAATTTAATCTAAAATGCTGCTGAGAATGTTAATATTTCTAAAATATGTTATTGTCTTAATCCAAATCTTGAAATTATTTTCATGATGGCATAGTTTTGGCATTAGCTATTACAGAATTTATTGACAACTTTCTAGTGGTTTACGATTAAGTTTTTATAAGTAATAAAGTAAATAAAATTATAAAACACAAAATAGAAAAAAAAAAAATGTTAACTATTGGATTAAGTGTAAAAAAGTAAATTGAATGAATATACTTATAAATATTTTTTAACTTAAATATGTAAATGGAGATGGATTTCTTCTAGTGGGAAATTATCAAACAAACTTTACCGCCCAAGGTAACTTCCTGTAAATACATCACTATATACAGCAATATGTTGTACCTCTATTATTTACAAGTTAATTATAGATATGTTAGTTTAATTTAGTCTTAGTTTTTTATTATGATTTAGCAAATAAACATGTTTATTCGTATCTTATAAGCGTATTATTTATCTTGTTACTTGTTTTTTTATGTTACTATTAACATAATATAGTATTTAAATGTTTGTTAGTAATATTATTATTGAATTTTAAGCTTATGACTGTTAAAAAAGCCGTACAAGAAACAAAAAAAATTGTACTTTTTCATTGTCACTCTAAATTTTTGTTTATACCACGTACAACGAGAAAAACAATCATTTATTAAATAAAAAAACATACTTTTACTGTTCATATTATGAACACATTAAAATAAGTAAGAATAGTCAATACTATGAAATATATACAGTATAGGCTTATAGGTAGTGTAATATAATAAAGAGTTAATAAATAAATACAGCTTTTAATAATTAAAAATACTGAACTAGAAATAGTTAAAATTGACGCGTTACAACTTTAAATTATAAAAATGAAAATTTATTTTAGTGCACAAGTATTGGATGAACGTATTTCTTATGGAATCCTTTGTTATCTAAACATTTTAAGAAACACACTAGATGCCTTATAAAGATGTTGTTTGACATCTTAAGTACCTATCATAACCAGTTCAGACAAATGCTAAAATAGTTTCTGTACATATTAAGTTTAGTTTTTGTTTATTTCTGTATATATTCTGTACATATTATCTATTAACTGTATGTAATACAACATTATACTAAAAAAACAAAAAATTGAATGTTATTTATTAAGTTTTTTTAAAAATATTTTCACTAACAGAATTAATAATTTGACTAGTTAAGACACCAGTACAAGTAACACTTATTAAGACCAAGACGCTAAATATTTAAAGTAAAAACCAAGACGCTAAATAACCATAATAATTGAAAAATTAGAATAATGAACTTTTTATTAGTTTTCAAGTAGTCGTATTTTTATAATAATTTGTTCTGTGTTGATATTAATCTACACTAGTAACGAATCGTTTTGGTAGAACCACGGTATATATTCTATATAAGACCGTGATTAGACCACGGTAACCTATGGTTGAAATTGAAAAAAAAAACTATTTACTAGGGCTCATAATATTGTTTGTTAACAGCAGCTAATGCCTAATATTCAATACGTACAGGTACACCGCACCGCTAGGAACACTACAGAAAAAACAGATAAGAAGACATTACCCATATAATATTGTTATAGATTTATTATTAGTTCGTTTTCATTGTGACCGACGACCGTCAACTATTAACTTTAATCTACAACCGTATCGTTAATCAATCTTATTTTGTGAAACGTGAGATCCGGCGATAAACGATTTTTTTCTTTAGCTGTAAAACTTATAAAAGCATCTCATATAAGCTAATATTATAATATTGTAGTACTAAGCTATAACTTTAAAAGTACTTGTCTGATTTAGCTAGTTTTTACGCCTAAAATTAAATTTTAAAAAAATAAACACGATCATCAAAAAAAAATTGGGGGTTACCATTTAAAAATCTAAAGTTGATATGGTTTTAACGCATAAGGGATGGTGTTAAAATTTTGAAAAATACATTAAATTTGTCCCACCTAATAACTATAATAGTACAAAAAAAAAATAATTAAAAAAGTCTAATATCTTCTAAGATATTGAGTGGTCCATAGTTAACCAATCACCCGGTATAATAAACTAACATAGTAATTGGATTTTCCTTTATTCGTCCGGTTTCCCTTCATAAAATAAGTCGAACAATTGAATAAGCTTTATGAATATTGAACAGTATAGAAAAATATATGTGCTAAAATTCATTCAATAGCCTTTTTTGATTCACCAATAAGGCAAAAATATTTAAAAAATTCTTCACAGTTAAAATGTGGAAAAATAAAAACAATACTAGTTTTAAAGTTTCAAATTTTACTGGCTTTAATTTCGAGAAAAAGGGTCGGATCGAGTTTATTTATTTGTTATTTCGTCAATAGGTGGTTATTTTCTGTGTTTAATAATGTACATGGTTATTCTTTGCGTTTACTAAAAAATACCCTAAAACAGAATGCAGAACTGTTCTTATTATTTTTCAGAACATTATTACACGCTGTATTCGAAATTTTGTAAAATTCTTTGGTAAAGTGGTGGTAATGTATAGACTAAGTAGAATTGTTTCGTGTAACGATATCATACTAAAATAAATAACATTTTGGACATTGACTAGTCTTTATTGACGCTTTGAGCTTAGAATCAACTTTCAATATATATTTTAATTTAAGAGAAAATTACAAATTATTAAGTTGTTATAAGGATGTAACCACAGGCTTTTATCAAATTCAAATCATTATACCGCGCATGGGTATAGAATCCGATCTACCTGTAAATTATCATATATTAAATCTAAGACGAATATCTGTGTTCTCGTCATTTTTTCCCTATTAGCAACAAGATCTTAAAGCTATCAATATCAATTTTCGTTTCAATAACCGGACTTACTTCATTTTTCTTATATTCGAAAAAGTAATATTGTAGTAAAATAAATTTAAAAGAAGTTTAAACAGGTTAAATTTGTGTTTTATCATTAGATTAAAATTCCACAAGGATATAAAAACATTTTAGTTACATATATTGAATTGTTGAATTTATAAGTTTTATATAATACGGCGTTTGTATAGGCAATTCTAGTGCGTTCGTGTATTTGGCTATTTTTCTACATAACATAGTTATTTTTTTAATTTATTCGATTTATACAATCAAAGAATGTAATAACCTAATCTAGAAGTTGTAAGCACACGTTATAATTGTGTGCAATAAAATATCTAAAACCGTTGTGCGTAATTGGTTCTATACGTTTCTGTTGGAATTAAATAAACCATTATGTCTTACATATTTGTAATTTTTTTATATTTTCTAAAACAACCTGAACTTAACCTACAATGACAAAGTTTTTAATACATATAAAAATAATAAATTTAAAAAAAACGTATTCTTTTAGTTTGGCTTTCGACTACAATTTATTTTTTTACATTTTCAACTAAACAATATGTATTGCTTACATAAATGCAATTGAAAGACTTCTGTTATTTAGTAGAATTTATGTACACAAGGTCATTCTACTATGATGGGCATCTCATTGGGTTTAATAAGAAAATTAATTTTTTTTTTCATGTTGTTTTTACACAATGCGATCTCAATTTTTCACAACTTTTTTTGCTTTCCCCCCTCTCCCAACTTGGTTTTTTTGAACAGCGACTTTTGATTATTAAACGGTAACGCATACATTTTATTGAACATTTCTGACAGGCAAAATTGCCTGGTAATTTTGACAGGTATGAACTTACTTCGTTGGTAAGTATAATTTGGTCAAACTATTGTTATAGCGACTCGTTTAATATATGCAACTAATTGTTATTATTTAATGTCATTCACTTTTTATAAAATTGTGTTTTCTTCCATAATAATTATTTTGTGTATTTTGTGAACATTAAAATATCTATTGAACTTACTATATTAGTATAAATAACTAATTGCTATTATTTAAAATAATTTACTTTTTATAAAATTGTGTTTTCTTCCATAATAATTATTTTTTGTATACTTTTGGAACCATAAATTATTAATTGAAACTTGACAATATTGGACATTGTCTTCAACAAAACTATAGCGTTCCGAATTAGTATTCAGGTAAGTAATTGTTTTTGTGTTAATTTATTAATTTTCTTTCTTTTTTTGACGATACATTTCCCGATCTTTGGTAACTTCTTATATATAAGATGTTATTATAAACTAACGGTGTAATACCCGTTCTCAATTAATATTAGTGTCCATATACTTTTTTTCCACATCTCGTCACGTTTACTAATTATTATTGTTATACACATTTGTATGATTGTTCGTGTTCGTGCGACTAGGGTAAGTTTTTTTGGATGTAATTATTTAATTAAAGCAAAAAAAAAAACCCATAAAAGATTTATATTGTTGTGTTTTACCTAGTATTTCTTTATTGTTAAAGGACAGTTTATAAATATTCATAGAACTTTTAAGTGTACTAAAAAAATTGTTTAGAAGATATTGTAGTTTTTTCACTTCTCAGACTTGTACATTTTTTTTTTAAAGATAAAATATGTTTTCGAATACCTATGTTTATATATTCTTAGAGTTATCTCGAATCAAAGTCACACAGTGTTTTAATTATATCTTAGGACTAAGTAAAATATTGTCACTTTACTAGCCAAAATAACATTTTAGTTTTTAATAATAATTTTGCTGTTTGGTCGTCAAGGCAATTTTTGTCTTGGACCTAGTAAACAACACGATACTCTTCGCATTTTGATCTTGACAGCCCGGATGAACACAACATTATTCTAACCAACCTCTGTTAAACATCAAAACGCTTATTTCGATTATCATATCAAACTTATACTTACTTATTCTTGTGATTTACACTTTTTTTGCATAATTATTTTCAGTTTTTATACATTCTATTTATTATTTTTTGTTTAACTTTTCACACGTTTTTTATTTGTGTAAATTGTTATTTTGTTTATTTCATTGTTTTTTTGATATATTTATTATTTTTTATTTTTGACCTTTTTTATAAGACGTTGACCGATTACAGGTAAGTTCTTATACATAAGATGATGTTATAAACTAAAGATAAAATACTATTCTCAATTATACTATTATGTCTACATACTTTTTGTTCACATCTCGTTACGTTTACTAATTAATAATTATTTCTATGATACACACTTAAGTGTTGTGTTGGTAGTAGTTACTAAAAAACTGCTTTAGAAAATAATGTATTTTTAGTTAATAAAAAAAAATGAATTTAACAACATGCGTCGGCTGTGTATTGTGTAGCTTTCTTGAATTCGGCGTTTCAATAATAT